TTTAATAGAAAGCGATTCTATATTAGTAAATAGAGTTATTACGTCTTAAATATATTAATATATCGAGTCGCTATAGGGTAGTCTACTCGCCTAGGTAGTCTACTCGCCTAGGAAGTACGTTAACCTTAAATAAATTAAATACTTATAATTACCTAAGAAATTAATTTATAATCTAAATTTATAAAAAATCGAATCTCTTATTATTAAGGAAGCTCTCTAATATTAATTCTTAATATTATCGATTAACTTATAAAGGGGGTATAAATAATTATATATTACTATACCCTTATAGGCTAAGAGGTTAAATATCTTTATAACGAGAATATAATATTAAGCTAGTATTATAGAATAAAAAAGTATAACTTAAACTTAGAGGGAGTATATTATAAACTAATAAATAAGATTAGAACTCTTAGGGAGAGGTAAATACGTAGATAATAGAAGAAATATATTAAAACCCGAGTATAGTAACCCGCACTACGCTAAAGAAACGGAGCTATAGTATCTATAGAAAGATTAATTATAATACGAGAACTTATTAATTAATTATATTAGAATCGGATAATAATAACGAGTAAATTTTAATATAATCTAATATCTTATTATCGCGTTATTAATTAAAAAGGTTAGAAAAGTCGAGGTAGGTAGGCCACTCGCCTATATAGGCCACTCGCCTATAATATATATTATAGGAAGAGTATTTATAACGTTAAGATCGAGTCTTAATAGAATAGGCTTTATTAAAGTTATTCCGAGTTCTAGTAAATATATTCCCTATTATTCTACCTTTATCTATCTTATATTAATAATATTATAATTAGTCTTTAATACTCTATATACTATTAGCCTTTTTAAATCTAAATACCTCTTTAATTAAATTATATTACTTTATACCTATATAGAGTTTATTAATATTAACCTATAAAGCTTTATCTAAACGTAAAATAATTACTAAATACGGAAATAACGAAATCGCTTATATATTATTCTAAAATAACCTTAATATCTATATAATAACCTTAAATAAAACTATATAAAAGATTACTCTATCTTAATATATTTAGCTATTATCGATTAACTAAGAGAATAGATTAAATTAGCTTTAATAGACCTTATTTAATACCTTTAAGCTAATATCCTAGACCTTTATTAAAGTATTATAGTTTATATAAATTTAAATAATCCCGATTACTTCTTAGTTAATAATATTAATATCCTATAATATTATTTATATATCTTCCTTCGTAAACGGTTAAAGGAGTACTATAAATAAGGTCGTTCCTTATTATTATAATTACTTTTACGCTATATAAGTAGGATTAATTATTTAAAGGAATTACTTCGTTTACGTAAATATAAAGTTAATAGTAATAGGATTAATATAGAGAATAGTAAATAAGACGATATAGATTTAGATAACTAAAATTCGGAGATTAAAACTAAGATCGATTAAGTTTATACTTAAAGAGAAATAAGCGAACTCGAACTTTACTATTCTATTATTATATATTTCTAATTCTACCTTAATACTAATAGAAGGTTCTATTCTATTTTATTTTATATTATATAACCTTATTCTAAATATTCTAAGTTCGATTATAATTATTAAGCTTTATTTTTATTAAAGTAAACTTAAATATATTTATTTATTAATTAATAATTATTATTTAAGCTTTATTTCGCTTTTAATTTCCCTTTTAATCTATTTTATATATAATAGGTTTTATTTTAATAGAATTATATCGATTAATTCCTTTTTAGCTCTTAGACGTACTTATTTTAATATTAATACCTCTAATTATTATTATACGACCTTTTTCCTAGATTTAATAGCTATTTTTAGATCGTCCTTTATAGGATTAATTTAAATATTAATATAAAGTATTAAATAGCTATCCTTTATATTTAAATTAATTAACTTAATTATAGATAAGAACGTTTAAAGGTAATTAGTATTATACGATTCTTCTTAGAATTATATATTTTAAGCTATAGAACTCTTTAAATTATATAGGAAAGCTCTTTAGTTTTTATTAAACTTCTAAATAAATATTATAATTAAATAGTATTTTTCGATTAAGTATTATATAAGACTTTTATAATCTTAATAATTAATATATAATTCGATTTTAATCGGAATTAATTACTTTTATATAAATATAACCCTAAGCTATTTAATATATTCGATTCTATTTAAAGATATAATTAAATATTCCTTAGAATATAAAGATATTATAATTCGGATAATAGTAAATTACTTTAAAGAAGTTTATTTAGCTTTAGTTTTATCGTTTTAAATACTTTTTTATTATAATCTATCTATAAATCGTAAAATATTAATAAACTAAATAGCCCTTTTATATATAAAGTTAATCGGTTTAATTTAGGATTAATAAATATTAAGAACTTCTTATTAAGTTATCTTAAATTTCGCTTAAGTCTAAATTAATATAGATAATATTAAGATCTCTTCGAAATTATTAGAATCCTCTTATTTAAGATTATTATTACCCTTTAAAAAAGAATTACTATAAAAAGGATAAGATATTTAATCGGAATAAGCTAATTTTATATTATAATAATAGGTTCGAGCCTTTATAGGATAGAAAGGATTTACTATTATAATACCGGTTTTTAGATCCTATTATATAAAGCCGTAATTCTATTATACGAAGTTATACGAAGTTATATAAACCTATTCGCTATAGAATAATTTTAAAGGTATAATAATATATACGATTTTACGCTTAGGTTATTATATAATATCTTATTAACGGTATTTAATAGTCTAGAAAGCATTACTCTAATAATAGATAGATCTTTATAAGGGTCTATAAGGTAGAGGGGTAGGCTTAGTTATTGATTTTTGGAAAATTTAGGTTTTAAGCCAGTTCGGCCTGCAGTCTTCCGTACAGGCATCTCGACGCTTGCCTTAATATAGTAACGGGGCAGGGACTGCATCGCGTTTCTGATAAAATAAGTATCAGTCATACTGTCGATATCTTTATCAATTCGGTGTAGGACGGGATTGAATGCAGATAATGAAAGGTGAAATACTTTTCACCTGGCGATCTCAATGACTTCACAAATGCCAAAGCCCACTTGTTCACCTAGACTCCCCAAGTGCAGGGACTGACGCCCAGAGTCTAGACTACGACGTGGCGGAATCTCGCCGCCTTTCCTTCTTCCTGAACCACTCCCAGAAAGACATATACCTAAAGCATTTCATACACTCATCAGTGCTTTATGCGACTTGATTGAAGCTCTCGAGAAGAAAAGGGATAATGGGGGCTATCGAGTCTACGAATCAACAGGTCAGTCGAAGCTGGCGGTGACCCTGCTTCTCCTTTTTCGACCTGCTACATTGACAATATCCCCATGTTCCAGATATGTCGTATCATAACCGATGCGAATGGTAGGTCCGGACATATCAAACCAGTCATTCCCAGGCTCAAGGGCCGTTTGAATCCATTCCGGATCAGAGGCGAGGCTTTTCAAGCTCTCCATGTCCTTGACCCAATACTCCAACACGAGATCGCAGTCATTCACCTTCCAGCCAGGTCGCACTTGGCCCGCCTCGGCCTGGAAGGCCGCGCCGACTTGACTATCCATCTTTTGCTTGCCATGAAATTGTGTCAGCGAGACGCATCCTGTCAAGGTGATTGTTTTGCAGTCACCTACAACTGCATACTTCAAGACATTGTGCTTCTTCAAAACAGCGACCGCCCGAGGAAGAAATTGGCTAGTGAACCAATGCATAAAGATTTCTTCGTGTACACCATCTTTACGGCGGTGCTCCACTGTGCATTTGATAGGATGGTCTGTCGTCGTCTTTGGAGGACATGAGGTAAACCCGTGCAGAGCCATCCTGACTGAGGGTGATTTCAGTGACAGTCAGATTTCCTTCTCAACTCACTATCGTAGACCGCGGTGAGCTAGCAGGGTCGGGAATCAAAGATGATAGCGGGCAAGGGGGCCAGAAGAGACCGGCAGACAGGCGGGACATCGGATATGTATGGAAGCCCCCGTTCCGACAACTAATGAGCCAGACATGACATGCGCGCCCCTCCTGGCTAGCCGACATTCCACCTGCATTTCTCTGGGGTCATACGGTGGGGTTCACCATGTTTTCCGCATCACGAACAATCCGAGCACGAGACTCTCCGCTGGGGAAGGTTCATTATTGCATGGACCATCCGACTCAAGATCACGTCTGGATGAATCTGATTTTCCTGAAGTGTGGGGTTGTGCCAAGTCGGCTGTATGTTCCGCATCATAGCCTCGAGCCCCCCCACGCCCATTCTTTATCGATGTATCATGATGTCCTGATACTTCTTGGCTGACTGGAGGTAGTATGCTTGAGCCCATTCTACCCAACTGTAGGCATACCATGCGCTGCATGTCTTGTGGCACAGGAGATTGGAGGCAAGTTTCAGGGTCTGGTCTGCATATACGCGCACGGCGAGAGAGGATCACATAGCTTAGTGACCAGCGGCATGAACTCGGCGTCTGTGAGGACAGGCTCTGTATTTACGGGGTGGTTGGGGCGGCTCTAATCTGACAAGGATGACTGCATACAGTAATTACCCCTCGGCACATCACCCGGCGTCAAAAGGCGGACTCGAGCGGCTGTCAATTGTCATGCCGCAGGGTCCACGCCTCCATGCTACCGCATTGTGTCCCGCCGCAGGTGAGATCATGCAAGATCCCGCCCGTCCAGGCTGTACATGCCTAACCCTGGATGGAGAGGCGTAGCCGGAACCCCCGCCCCCCACACACAGCAGCAGAATAGAGGAATCACAGTGGTGGAAATCACCGGCCGACTGCCAACAGCAATGAAACGTCAATACATTCATAGACCTGCTCCTTTCTAGGATTCAGTGTTGCACTGCATAACACGAATCGGCGCAGTTTGTCTTGAGGCAACCACTACCTCCCCCGAGCCAACCAAGCGAGTCATCGTATTCGCCGCATCGCCTCACACCTCAAACAAGGTCTTCCGTGTTTCCCTTGATGCTTTCCTCCAAGCTTGTCCATCCCTCCCTGCCCAAATCGCGCAATAGAGCCTCAGCTCGCTTACGGGGCGCAATATCGGTCAAATCCTCCTCAGCCCGGAAGTTGTCGGGAAAGCTGCGGCTGGGATAGAGCTTACGGAGAACAGCCAGAACTTTGTCCCCGTTGACGGGCTCGGCGAAGGCGAACACACGCTCGGACTGAACATCGGGATGAAGGACGGCAGCGCAGTGCAGCAGGGCGTCGTCCTGCACATCGACAAAGTACTCTAGGGTTTGCGGGTTAGCGTCTGTCATTCTTTGCCTCTTTTGTGGTGCACACTGGTGGAACCTACGAGCCGTGATTCCACCTAGGTAGGTGGTATTTCCTTTGAAGAGCTCTGCAACGATGGCCGAAGTGGAAGGGTGACCTTGGTTGACAGAGTCGAGGCTCGCGCCGAAGTTGATGTTGGGCAGAACGGCGTTCAGGGTGAAACCAGGCTTCTTCTCGTCCATGAACTTCCAAGCCTCCCGTTCGGACAAGGCCTTACTAGCGGCGTATACAGGGAGCCCGCGCTGCGGCTCATAGGGCGGGTCGCGATACGCCAACTCCACAGCCTCGTCGTTCCATGTATCAGTGGTGACCTTCAGGGGGTTGTTAGGCCTTGGGATCAAAGCGGCAGTGGAAGAAGATGTGAGGACGAAGCGCTTCACGCTTGGCTCCCGGGCGGCCGCTTCCAGTGCGTTGACTGTTCCCAAGATCGTCCCCGGGATCACATTGTGAGGATTCGGGTCCATGGTGAAGATGGATGCTGTATGGACGACAGCCGAGACACCCTTGACAGCTTGGTAAAAGGCACCCTGCGTGCTCATGTCCGGCACAGCCACCAACTCGAAATTTCCTGGGCCGTACTCTTTGCTGAAGAGGGCGCCGACCCAGGCGTGCTTTTCGGGGCTACGAGTAGTACCGCGGACCCTATAGCCGAGCTTGAGAAACTGGTCGGCAATGTTAGATCCAATGAAGCCATTAGCACCCGTGACAAGCACGATCGAGCCTCTGGGAACGACAAATTGCTCGACGGGGAGAGACATGGTGTTTGCCAGTTACACGCTGTAAAGTGAGTTGGGCACAGAAGAAGGAAATTCAAGTGGGAGGAGGGGAAGACGGATTAATTAAATATGGATGTACAGGGTGGGTAGGTACGTAGAAGTCTACCTACCTATGCAAGAAAATTCCTCCAGCAGGAAGAGAACATTTCCTATCACATCTAAGTGTTACATATGAACGGATTACTTGAACACCGCGTCAAGGTCTTTCATCTTGTCATATCGTGTTGAAACCGGTGACTACGATTCAATGGTGAAGGACTATTTAAACGTCCATGTTGTTCTTCACTCAAGTGTTGCATTGAACAGGCACAATCATGCCTTCTAGGACAGGATGCTGGCTGAAATACACCTGCGATTATTCAATTTGATATGCTATTTACCAAGCTAGCAACGCTCATGACAACGGACTGAACCCTTTACGAATTTCTGGTGTACTCGGGATACGACTTCTCATAGCTGAGTTTCACAGAGCGTCAGCGAACGCAGGCGAGCGCTTGATCTGGTTCATGCAAGGGTTCGTGGGGTTGATCAGATGCTTACCCTAACACACTCTCTGCGAACAAGGCAAGCCCGCAGTGTACCCAAATGAGCAACCAAACCGGCATCCAATTCAGGAATGGCGGGCACAGAAGGGAGGATGCGTGCTCGGTGAATAGAATAATCTGAAAGACGGACGGCTTCAGGTCTGCCTTGAGACAGTCGTCGACGTACCCAGAAAGGTTACGGAGGAAGTTCACGTCAAGAATATGGTCAGTATCTTTGCAGGGATCCAGCCAGACGGAGAAGACGAGAGTTTCCGTGGCTGATCTATGAGACCAAAATCGATGGCTTCAGGCCCAAAAGCGCTGCTGGTCAGTCGAGGCGGCTCTCGAAGCAAGCATGCGGAACACCTAGTCCCTGGGATTGCAACTCACCGCGTGCCGGCGGGAATGTGAAAAACTCCATCATCTTTGGTAATGGCGTATTCCACCCCATTCTTTACCGCACCCAAAACGCCCTGTTCGACCTTGAAGTGTTCATCCTGTAAGCGATGGATGTGTCTGCCATTCGTGCTGATTAGTCTCGTTTCCTGATTGTCAAGACCTGATGTTTCTCACTTACAGTGGGGGTCCAGTCAGTCCGGCACGAACGAGTGGATTTTCTATGTAATGCGTCTCTCTGACGTACCAAAGGCCGTCAGGTTTCGAGAGAGGTTCGTACAGCGCAGCGTCACCGAGATGCTTGAAGGCCGGCTGAGAGTTGTTTCTGCTGCGATGCTGCGGTCGCGGCGAGAGCCAAAGTTGCCACGCTCGCACCATTTTAGATATGATCAAGAAAAATGACAACGGAGCGAAAGTTACGACAATCAGCTGGATACCGAGGAGGAGGGTTCATTTCTAGCTAATCGCATCATCAGAGGGGTGCTGTATGCGGGTTTTCTAGCGCTCTACTTCACCTCTTCATCTCATGGGCCTTTGACGTGCTCGTTCTACCTCGTACCTCGCACCAGATGCCCCCGGAGATATCACCACGAGCTGCTTGGCCGTCTGACGTGCATTTCGGGAGGGCTGCCGAGAAGCTGAGATATGCTAAGTCAAGCGCGCAGTATCCCCCCCCCGACTGCTATTTTAGAGATCCTGTGTCAGACTTGCCTTACTACGCTTTTCCGATGCGAACCACATAATCGCACAGTTGCCACACACTTTGGTTTACCCGCCGAATCCTTGTGTTGCCTGCTCATGCATGCCATGTTGGTGATACTCCCTTTCAATCTTACCTGCCTAATCACGCATGGACACCCACCCACTCCCGCATATATCTACCCCAAATCGTGTTGGTAGAGTCGCCCAGGGACACGGCCATGTACCCCGCTTCCTCCTTGCCTTGCAGTCGATCGCTCCTCCAAACGTCTTCTTCACATCACCAACATGAAAGGCCTGTCTGCAGATTGGAGCAAGGCGCGAGGGCGGGAGAGTTTAGCCCATCGCCTCATTCAAATTCCGACTAACGTGCTTCGAATGTACGCCTAATCTCTCAAAATGCAATGCAACGCCGAATTTTGAGACGAAGTAAGTTCTTAGATATAATGTCGGCGCCACTAGTTTCTACGCTCGCTTGTTCCCGTTGGGTCTTCGCATCTCTGATTTGCTCATCAACGACTACTGCCCCCTGACCATGGGGGAATTGCAGACAGCAAAAGCCCCTACCAGCAGTCACGCATGCCAAGGTAAGGTACGCGTAGGACCTATGAGGAAAGCAAGAAGACCGCTAACCCGGCCAGGTCGTACCACCAGCTGCGATCGTGCCAAGGAGCGGAAAGCCTGCACGAACTGCTCTCGATCCAGACGGAAATGCCCAGGGTGCGGCCTTAGGCTGTCCTGGCCGCGCCCCAACGATCTACGGCGTGCCGTCGTCTCCCAGTCGTCTCTGCCATCCAGGTCGCGCGTCGCCCCGGGCCTGATCTCCGACGCGCGGTTTGTCCACACGTCGAATTGGGACATTGAGTTGCATCAAAGCCTGACGAGCTCTGTCCCGGCACGCAACAACCTGCCCTCGCTCAGCGTCCCGCTGTTCTGGAACCCATCTAAACTGGAAGCCCTTGACCAAGACCTGGTGGAATACTGTATGTTTGTAAATCAAGGAAAGCCGCCCACCGGCCTGGTGGTCAGGGGAAGCAGAGCTGACGGCTTCGTGTATCATTCACGTATACAGTTTGTTGTGTAGCTTCCATGTCCCTTGCTACCTTTGGCTGCAACAACACCGCTCTTGGGTGTGCTCTGGTCCGGGTTGCGCTGCAAGGGCAGACGATCACGGCTGCGCCGGTGCTCCAAGCGCTGATGGCCTTTTCTTCGCTTCACCGCTACGGCCTGCAGTCCCAAGCTTTGGAGCTGAAAGTCGCTGCGCTGGGAAGTCTGGCAAAAGAACCAGGAGCGCCGAGTTTGGGGGTGGAGGCGACCCTGCAGCATGCCGCCACGGGCATGCTGCTTTGTTCGTTCGAGATCCACCAGTCGTCTTCCACTTCGGGCCACTGGCCCTTCTACCTCCATGGCGTCAAGGCGGTCTTTGGCGCGTGCTCTGTCAAGACGCTGCATCAGCTTGGCCCCGATGTGGCCGTCCTGCTGGACTGGGTACACTACCACGACGTTCTCGCTCGTTTTTCCCTACTGCACTGGAGGAAAGGTGGTTCCCCGGACCTACCGCCGACCCCAACAGACCTCTTCTGTTCACAGGTTCGTGCTAGGACAGAGACTCCATGACGCCACGCAGAGTCAGCCTAACATCCGAGCTCTGCAGGTATCTAATCTGCCGCCGCCCATATTTTGTATGCTGGATCTGCTGTCCCAAGTATGCGATGCGGTATCTGGCAGCGCATTCCTACTTGAAACAAGCGGCGGCGTGGGTGATTACAAGAGCTTCCTAGAAGTCCTAGACTGGAGGATTAGGAGCCTGTCGATACCGAAAATCCCGGATGATGAAAATGATGCCTCAGATGACACTACGTTGGTTATGCAACTATACCAACTCGCGATACTATTGTTTCTTGACCGATGTTTTGAGGACCTGATCGACCAACCAGTCAGGACGCAACAGTATATCGACAAAGCATTCGCTATCCTCCCCCGGTTGAGCTTCTGCAAGCAGCAATTCCCGATTCACGTCATTGGCTGCGAAGCGCGAACAGATGAGCAACGGGCTGCCGTCCTCGACGTCATTTCCAGGACAGAGAGGATGAGCTTGTCACGGTCTTTGAACTATTGCAAGAGAATATTGCAGGCTGTCTGGGCCCAAGACGACCTTGTCAATGGATGCAACATTGGCTATCGCGAAAAGTTGTCTTCGGTAATCAGTCATTGTTCGATGATTCCTAGTTTTGTATAAGAATGGTCGTAGAACGGAACCAACACGGTGGCGGCTTGAGTGTACAGACATGAATAGAAACTTCGCACATACCCTGTATGACCTGTCCCGCGCGTGCTCGGAGTGCATGAGGGGGGGAGGGCCTTCTTGCGGAAAGTCGGCAGGTACGGGATAGTCAATGAACCTCTGTGAGGCCAAGGACGTGCCCCTCCCCCCTCCCTGCTGGGCCCCCAAGCCAGGGTCGCTGTTAAATGGGATTCCTTCCGTGACGTACGACCAGGCATGGCCTGTATCTCCGGGTAGCACTTCAACAGCCGAGTCAAGTAAGTCACGGGAATACATGGCTCCTTCATCCTGGTGCCCTGGCTGCAGATGGTCTGGCTTGAGCTCCGCAGTGTAAAAGCTGCCAGCACCCGTGCTAGTTCCGTGGATTCTAGGGGGCAATAGGAACCGTTCATCCTTCATCTTCAACATGAATGATCCATGCAATCCTCGGCCCCAGTTCTCGGTCCTCATTGTGGGCTGTGGTCTTTGTGGCCTGGCTTCCGCACTGGCTCTTGCTCAGGCCGGTCATCGTGTGACAGTGTTTGAGCGAAGCGCTCAACTCCAAGAAGTAGCTTGGCACTCTCTGCATTCCGCATGTACAAGTTTCTAACACGGCCTAACAGATTGGTGCCGGAATACAGTTATCCCCCAATGCGACGCGTCTGCTTCAGCGCTGGGGCGTCTTCGAGGAGGTCCTCAAATATGCAGCCCAACCAGAGGCCGGGACATTCCGCTCCTATCGAGGAGAGGTGGTCTCACAGTCGCCACCTGTATCTCATCCGACACTGGTTCGTGATGAGGCCCCTTACATCGTGATTCACCGTGCCGACCTCCTGAGAGCCTTGCTGTCGGGGATGGGGGGGCATGGTATAACTCTCAGACTGAACAGCGAAGTCAGGGAGATTGATTTCAACAAGCCATCCATACGCCTTTCCAATGGCGAGGTCTACAGGGCGGATCTGATCTTGGGTGCGGACGGGGAGAGGTCCCGCTGCAGGGGCATCCTACTAGGCCGTGAGGACCCTCCTCACAGTCCTGGCGACGTCGTGTACCGGGTCTCCGTCCCTACCAAGAACATATCGGAGAGCCATCCCGCTTGGGACCATAAGAGAAGATGCAGCGTCAACTTCTGGATGGGACCAGGCGGTCACGTCGTCTCGTACCTCATTCAGCACGACATGCTCAACATGGTTCTGGTCCACACCGAGGGTGCAGGCAGTGAGGTCATGTACGGGCCGCAGCGAGCAGACCTAGACGAGTTCAGGCGCAAGATCGCAAACTGGGACCCCGTGCTTCACGAGATCCTCAACGTTCCAGGGTCTGTCTGCACCAAATGGACTCTGTTCCAGATCCATGAAGTGATCCAGTGGCGCCATGAGAGTGGGCGATTTGTGCTGGTTGGCGATGCCGCTCACGCGATATTGCCGTGCTTGTGAGTATCCAAGGATTGCAATCTCCCTGCCAAAGCTGATGATCCCTTGCTCAGAGCGCAGGGGGCCGCGCAGGCCTTTGAAGATGCAGGCGTCCTGGGAGCGATATTCAGCCAGCCGGTGGGCCGTGACCAGATTCCCGATGCTCTCCGGGTGTTCGAGGAGGTCCGCAAACCACGAGCCTCAGACGTCCGACATCGCACACTGGAACAGAAGGCCATGTTTGCCCTTTTAGATGGCCCAGGCCAGGAGGAGCGCGATGCGGGACTTCGCGGGGGTGCGGACTATGGGCTGTTCCGGTGGCTCTGGGAGTATGATGCCGCCGAAAGCGGTAGAGAGGCATGGGAAGCATTCTTGAACAAGGCTCGCGAAGACGGGATCGAAACTCGCCATGGTATCTAGGTCAAAATAGTACCTAGGTCAAAATGTGGAAACACAAGCAAACCTCCAAATGGCAGGGCTTTCTCACGCATAGCACCCGGCCAGCCAGCCCTCGATGCCGGGCTATGCGCCAAGCAACAAGCCATCGTAGACGTCTAAGGACCGTACACAGATGGCATTGATCCTTTGCGCCATTTTTACGTACAGCAGCTTAGTTCTCCGTGGTACTCTGACATGACCGATATGTTTGGTCTGTATGTCTGACAACGGCACACGCTGGCATCCGACATGTGACAGTGAGAGGATGATCTCGGCCATGCATGCGGCTTACCAACCCCTACCAACCCTAGCCGTCGTTTAGAGAACGCGCAGAGCAGATCTAGGCAGTTCATTAGCTCTGATCGGGATTCAGGGTGTTGCCACCGGGCAGGCTGTTGTATCTACCTTACTGGGTAGTCCACGCGGCGGAAGACCCTGGCAACGTCCTTCCGCAAGGAGTTGGCATCATTATCAGTGCATGGGTGGCGACCCTTCAAAGGAACTCGTCTTGTGCCGCAATCCACATGCGGCGTAGGTGGGTGTGGGTGGGTTGAAGACGAACCGAGCGTCCAACACGCATACACGGTTGGTCAAGTAGGATGGACCACGGAAGTGGCTGCGCAACTCACATATCTGCCGCCCGCCGGACTCGAGGCTACGCGGCCGTCATCTCATGCGAACAAGGGTCTGTCTGATTGATATTCTGCTGCTGCCTGTCCTCTGCGCCCGCCTTGGGGGCCACTACTCCCCGTCAACCCCGGCGGCTGCTTGCTTGTTCTCAGGAGTCTGTCACTGTGACCATGCCGTTGTCTCTCCGGTGTAAATGAGAAATCTGCTCTTGTGTATCTACCTTGTACATATACGACCACTCCTCTGTGCTCTCGGTCTTCTTCACATGCCGATATCCGACAATACCTGTGGATTCGTAGCATGATAAGCCGGCGTGTTTTAAACGTGATTTCCATTCGTGGGCCGCTGCTGCTCCGCCTCTTTCAGGATCTCTAGAACGACGGCATACAGTCGTCCGGACCTGATGGACTCGTAGACCCGCGTATTATAGAGCCCGATGCTCGGCGTGACCCCGTCCGGCGTCACAGCCTCCGTCGACGCCAGGTGCGCTTCGCCCAGGAAGGGGATACCGAGCTCCTTCCGGACGAAGCGGTACATGCGTCGCGAGGCCTGGCCGATGTAGGGCGTCGCGTTGGGCGGCACAGCGTCGTCATTGCGCCCCTCGATCTCGATGGTGCGCAGGTCGAGGGCCTGGCACAGCGCCAGGAGGTGGGCCGAGGCCATCTGGGACAGCACGTCGACGGCCTCGAGCGTGTACCGGGCCGACACGAGCGCCAGGGAGTTGAGGGACTGGTTGCCCATCTCAGCGGTCTGGACGTGCGAGCCGACGGGGTTGGCCAGGAAGCCCAGCTCCGAGGCGAGGGCGGCGACGACAACGTCCAGCCCCTTGAACAGGAACGAGGTGCCAGCGTCGTCGGAGCATAGGTTCGGCGGCAGGCCCCAGCTCGTGGCTGGGTTGATCATCTCGGTGCACTGGGTGAAGAGCATGCGGCCGATGCCCTGGAGGCCCTGGCGCAGCTTCTCGACCGCCGACGTGACGGCGCGCGCCTGAAAGTTGCCGCCGTGGAGCACGCGGCCGGCCGCCGTGTCGACCAGCGGGTTGTCCGTCACCGAGTTGATCTCGACCGTCAGCTGGTCGTACGCCAGGCCAAAGTCCTCGAGCACGGGGCCGATCCACTGGCTCGCCGTCCGCAGCGAGTAGCGGTCCTGGCGCAGCGTCGCCACGTCGCGGCTGTCGTGCCGGTTGAGCAGCCGTGACCCGGCCAGGAAGGCCTTGATGTTCCTCGCGCTGTCCGTCTGCCCGGGGTGCGGCCGCACCCGCGCGATGAAGGGCTCGAAGCTCTCGTCACTGCCGCGCAGCGCCTCGACGCTCATGGCCGTCAGCACCTGCGACAGGGCTGCGAGGTGGAGGGACTCGTGGGCCGCAAGAGCAGCCACCCCGGCTGACACGGCCGTACCGTTGACAATGGCGAGGCCCTCCTTGGCGAGCAGGCCGATGGGCGCTATGCCGGCCTCCGACAGGGCGGCGTCGGCCCTCGTCACTCTTCTGGCCCCCTTGACATCGCGCCGGCCGCTGAAGGCCGTGGCGGATGTCTTGCCCTGCATCACCGCGCAGATCCACGCCAGCGCGCTGAGGTCTCCCGAGGCCGAGATGCTCCCGCGGACGGGGATGCGCGGGACGACGTCCTCGTTCAGGAGCTCCACCAGAGACTCGGCGATGTCGACCCGGATGCCCGAGGCGCCACCGGCCAGGGAGTTCAGGCGGATGAGCATAGATGCCCTCGCCCATGACTCGGGCATGCAAGTAGCCGCGAGGGCGTCGTTCAGGGGAAGCGGGGCCGGCGCCGATTCTCGTTGCTGTTTCTGCGCTTGCTGCCCGTTCGATTTCTCACAGCCGTTGGCGGGATGGGCCTCGCCGTTGCTTCGGTTTGCATGTCCATTACTGCGGCCCAGGGCCGTATCCTCCGTTTTGCCGTCCGCAACGATGCCGCACGTCAGGTGGCTGATCAGGCTTTGCTGGACCCCCTCGACGTCGTCGGACCGTACATCGGCAGTGCCGCCGAACCCCGTGTTGACACCGTAGATGACCTCGCCCTGGGCGAGCTTCTCCGGTATGACTTTGCTGCCCGCTTCGATGGCGGCGATGGACGCCGGGATGAGCGCCACGCGTGCCAGGTGCCTCGATACTGCCACGACATCGGCGATGGTCAGGTCCCCTCCGCCGACTTCCAGCGGAGCCTTGGACGATGACGAGGTATCGCGCCAATGCGATAGGAGTAAATCCGTAAACGTGCGTGGTGGAGCGACCATGTTGTTCCAGAAACAGAGGAAAGGGGCACAGTTCGGCAGCAGAATAATTCAATTTGAGAGGAAAGGCGTCGATGAAAGCACCCGCTGTACTTGAGGTACCCATTACATCTTCCCAATCTGGAGACAGCACTCCGTGGTTCTTATGGAAAAGCTTGACTGACGAGATGGAATAGGAGAACACGTCCCCACGCAACGTCGTTGAGCATAAGGTACCCAGGCAACTCTGTCAGCCATGCTAGGACTCCAGGACTCCTACTACATCCAGGCTACATCTGGCGAGCGCTACGACGAGGATGTACAAGACCATCTCGAGACGTACCCAACTGGCATCCATCACCCGCGCACGGTCCGAACATGGGGGCTTCCTGTAGGTGCACGTCTCATTAGCCACCTGCAGGGAACACGACCAAGTCTACAACCGCCATATCCGGGGGTTATTCGGCCGGCTCACACGGAATTCCAGGCATCTCGAAAGGGCTGGACGGTCTGCACCAACACGGCAGAGTATGCAGGTGGGACAAATCACGCACCTCCGGGCAACTATGAATCTCAGCTCCCACAGGCATCTTGCTGTGATCATCCTCGATGCGTGGACGCGCGGAGCAGACGGACCCGAGCGGATGAGCAAGGTACGCCCGGCTCATCAGGCTGGGCGAGGTTGGCTGGCGTTGATAGACAATCTTTCCCGGCCATTTCTTCCGGGCAATGATAACTGCATAGACACCAATAGTTACCTCAGGTCCTCCTTGGCATACCACATGCATCAGACCGGGCATCACAGTTGCCCCGAAGTGCTCGTTCCAGCTCACTTGCATAACGTCGCAGTAACGGCCACACGCTTCCTCAGGTCCCCGCAGATTAAGCTTCTACACTGAAAAGAGCGGAACTGCTTTACTGTCATAGGGAACCCCTCCAAACCAGGGCGATAGTCATGGTGCGAGAAACCCACCGACAAAGTTTCTCCCCTTCTCCATATTCCCAAGAGAACCAAAATCACCGAAGCCGTCGTCTCCTCCAACTGTGGTGGCTACCAGCATGTATTCCGTCGAAGCCTCGTACTACCCCTATCTGGGTCTCCTTCTCCTCCTGGGCAGCAGCTGCGTGGCGCTCGCGCAGTTCTTGAAACCGGCCGACTTGAAATGGTCGCTCGGCACGAAGAGAGTGGCCATGCCGCCGGGGCCGCCGGGCGTTCCGGTGCTGGGAAACCTGCCACAGATGATGAGAGCCCGTCGCGGCGCCCTGTCGTTCAACAAGTGGGTGAGTCTCCCACCTGTCACTGCGCTGCCCCCGCCAGCAGAACGCGCGCCTTGGATCTAAACGCGCCGGCAGCTGGCGTCCCTGATCCCGTACGGCGACATGGTGACGCTGCACATGGGCTCGAGGACGTGGGTCGTGCTCAACTCGGACCGCGTCGTGTCGGAACTCATAGCCAAGAGAGGCAAGATCACCAACGAGAGACCGCACATGCCCGTGGCCAGCGATCTCGTGAGCAACGGGAAGCGCACGGTGATCCGGCGGGAGGAAGAGTGGCGAGAGGGACGCCGCGTGATGCACCAGCTGCTCAGCGGGTCGAACCTCAAGGTCTATGCCGGCATGCAGGAGCTCGAGAGCGTGGACATGCTGCGGCGGTATCTTCGGGAGCCCGACACGTGGTTCGCGCACAACTACCGCTACGCCACGTCCGTGCTGTACAGGGTCGTCATGGGCTACCCCCTGAACAAGACGCGAGCGCAGCTCGACGACTACCAGAGGGTGACGATCGAGTTCGTCACGGCCATCAACCGGAGCTACGTTGATTTCTTCCCCGCGTTCAGCAGGCTGCCGGCTGTCCTGCAGCCGTGGCGGCGTGCCTGGGCTCGCATGGGCGCGTTCCACCGCGGCGTCTTCCAGGCGTGGTGGGACCCCATCCGAAGGGCCGTGGACGAGGGCGCGGCGCCGCCCTCGTTCGTCCGCGACGTTCTTCTCCATCCCGACGTCCGGTTCGCCGGAGACGACGAGGAGGCCATGTATCTGGCAACGTCGGTCATGGCGGCCGGCGGCGACAACACGCGCATGACCATCAACGTCTTCGTCATGGCCATGGCCACGCGCCCCGAGGCCCAGGCACGGGCGCGCGAGGAGATCGACGGCGTGTGCACGAACGGCGCAGCGCTCCGGCTTCCCCAGATGGCGGACCTGCCGGCGATGCCCTACGTGTCCGCCATGATCAAAGAGGTCCTGCGCTGGCGACCGACGGTGCCCATCGTCCCACCCCACCAGCTCACCGAGGACCTGGCGTTCGACGGCTACTTCATCCCCGCCGGCACGTGCTTCTTGATCAACTCGATCGGGCTCTCGCGCGAGTTCGACGACGCCCACGAATTCCGGCCCGAGAGATGGATGGACGGCGCCGGCGCCGGCACGATACCCAACTTCTGGGGGTTCGGGGGCGGCCGTCGGATCTGTGTCGGCTGGAAGGTGGCGGAGCAAGCCCTCTTCGTTGCCTTTTCGCGTCTGCTCTATTGCTTCGAATTGCGTCCGGTTCGTTGACGTCTGCCCGTCTCTTGCTTGTCTTTGTTTGCTTCCGGATCAAGAGTTTGCTGACTTGTGAGGCGTCCAGAATGGGCCCATCGACGACGAGATACTCAACCACCAAGCCCTCGACGAGCCGTTCCCCGTGAAGGCCGTGGTTCGCAGTGCCGCGCACTCGTCGCTCATCGAGGAGGAAGCATCCAAGTACGAGTCTTCATTCTCTACGTTCGGGGCCAAATGACCCCGTGAACGCGACGCGGCAACACCGGTCAGTGGGGAGTCGCAAGAGAAGGGAACAGAAGAGAGAGAGAGAGAGAGAGAGAGAGAGAGAGCAGCATGGCAAGAATCCCGGCTCTCGTGATTTGTAGGAGATCATTTCAGATCCACGGTTCGGGGACAGCATTGGAGCGGCGGGTGCTGCGATGTGAAGACCACTGTGAGGCTCACTGTCGACGTAGGCAGCCACCGTATTTACGCAATTAACCGAAGTGGTGAGTGTGCCAGTGATCTATGCCGTCTCCCAAACCGTTTTCATAGACGGGCATACGTGACGTGCACAAAACCCTCTGGCCAGCGACTTGGACGGAGCTGTGGCTGAGCTGGAACGGAGGCAGGAGCCGAGAACCGAGCGCCCCACATCGCACAGCAGCCCGTCTCCCCTCCTTCCCCCACGGCCTTAGACAAGACTTTTGTCCCCCCCCAAAAAACCTGAAACATCGCTGTACATAGGCGTGTTTTTGTGTTTTTGCGTGGCGACCCCCTCTGGCGCTCCCACCCATCCATCCATCCCCACTTCTGGCCCTGAACCCCCCTCCCCATGCTCAGTTCACTGCACATCCGATCCATATGGCACTGACGCTGGGGGAGGGCCCTGGTATCGCGAGGTCATGGCAGATGATATGCTGAGGCGCAGCCTCCCTGGCGATGCTGTTTTCGGCCCTCGGATCTTTCTCTTTCGGGGTGCCCGTGTTCCGACTTTGGTCTTATCAGCAACATCCACGTCGATATCTAAGGGGGGGGGGGGGGGGGGGGGGTCGAAGTGCTTTGTTTGTCTGTACTGTACATGTAACACGACCGCACCTTGAACTTTCACGTCTGTTTCCTAAAGCCAAAGAAAAAAAAAACCCCCATGTCCGATGATTGGGTAGGTAACCTCTTTTTCCCATCTCGCCATCATGGCACTCACCGCATCCATGATGCGTTGTGTGTGTCGACAAAGATACCTCAGCAATGCGGCAGACGAGACGAGCCGATGCGACTGTAGAGTTTGGTAGGGGGAAGTTTCTTGGTCTCCAGGCGCAGAAATAAACACTTCCATTGCATGTATCGTCCACTAGCAGACCCCCTTCTCGGTGCCGGTCTCTGCACTGTCGTCGAGCGTCGGCGCTGGTCTGGGCTCTTTCTCGGGGAGAGAGCGCATGGTAGTCCAGACCCTTCTGACTACCTAGCCACGTTGGCGTGTACACTGTTGGAAAGCGAAAATGGTTCACGGTTTCAGGGAGCGGGTTGAACTAGTTCTATGCCCTTGTCTGTCTGTACTGACGTTTCATCATATATATCTACATGAATGCTGTTCCCAACGCCTTTTTGAAATTCCAAACGCCTCATAACTCATCAGAAGAAAAGAAAGCAAGGCCAGGTTTCTCTCCTCGCGCACGTCTCGAGTCGCTTAGTTGTAAAGGTCCTCGTCGTCCCTGACGACCTCCTCGATGGCATCCTCCATGTCTTCGTCATCCTCCTCCGATGGAAGCTCGCTGTCCTGGTGGTTCGGCAGCACGACAATCTTGTCGTTGATCAGCTCGACCCTCGCGTTCTCGCCGTCGCGGATCTGGCCCCGCAGGATGAGGATCGCGAGACGGTTGAGCACCTCCTTCTCGATGAGGCGCGATAGTGGTCGCGCGCCGTACGCGGGCGAGTAGCCCGCGGCGCCGAGGTAGTCCTTGGCCTCCTCCGACACGTCGATGAAGACCTTGCGGTCGTTGTCGGCCAGACGCTTCTGGATCTCGCCGATGCGAATGTCGACAATGTTGCGGATCTCGCGGCGCGTGAGACGGTTGAAGATGACGGTTGAGTTGATGCGGTTGAGGAACTCGGGGAGGAACCAGCCGCGAAGCGCGTTCATGACCTTCTCGCGCGTCACCGCGTCGACCCGGCCGTCGGGGGACGTGGATTGTGTGAGGTACTCGGCACCCAAGTTGGAGGTCATGACGACAATGCAGTTCTTGGCGTCGACAACACGGCCTTGTCCGTCGGTGATGCGGCCGTCGTCCATAAGCTGGAGCAGGACCGTCAGGACCTCCTTGGCGGCCTTCTCGACCTCGTCGAACAGCAGAATCGAAAAGGGCTTGCGGCGGAGAGCCTCTGTCAGCTGTCCTCCGGCATCGTGACCAACGTATCCTGGTGGCGCGCCAATCATTCGGCTCAGGGCGTGTCGCTCTTGGTATTCAGACATGTCGAACCGGATCATAGACTTGGGGTCGTCGAACAGGAACTCGGCAAGCGCCTTGGTGAGCAGCGTCTTACCAGTGCCCGAAGGACCGCAGAACAGGAAGCTGGGCGGCTGGTTGGGGTTGGCGAGACCAGACCGCTGGAGTCGGATGGCGTTGGAGACGGACTTGACAGCCTCCTTCTGGCCAACAACGATCTTGCCGAGGACCTTCTCCATGTGGAGCAGCTTGTCCTTTTCTGTAGTCTTGAGGCGCGTGACGGGAATGCCCGTCCATCGCGCGACGATTTCGTTGATGTGGTCGACAGACACGATGTCCGTAACCATCGAGCCAGTGTCTTGGCCAGTGGCGCTCAAGGCGGCGTCGGCTGCGGCCTTCTTCGCCTCGAGCTCCTTGATCACAGCGAGCTGTTCGGGGATGGCGCCGTACTTGATGTCGGCGGCCTTGGCGTGGTCGCCGTCGTTGGCCGCGTTCTCCAGACGCTTCTGGAGCTCGTCGAGCTTGGACTTGGCCATGTGGATTTCCTCGCCGCGCTTGATCTCGCTGAGGTACTTTTGCCGAAGAGGCTCCAGCTCCTCCTCGACGTTTCTGGCATCCTTCTTCGCCTGCGCCAGGCGAGTCTGGGATGCCTCGTCCTTTTCCTTCTCGAGGGCCGCGATCTCAATCATGATCTGGCGAAGCTTGCGCTCCAGCGAATCGATAATCTCGGGCTGCGACTCGCGGGCCACACGAACGGCGGCGGACGCCTCATCGACCAAATCGATGGCCGAATCAGGCAGCCGTCGAGATGTGAGATAGCGGCCAGCGAGGTTGGCGGCGGCCACAAGAGCGCTGTCGAGAATGGTGACGCGGTGGTGGCGGTCGTACCGCTCCTTGAGACCTCGAAGGATGGAGATGGTCTCGGCAATGGTGGGTTCCTTGACGAGGACCTGCTGGAAACGTCGCTCAAAGGCAGCGTCCTTCTCGACATATTTCCTATATTCGGCGAGTGTGGTAGCACCAATGCAGTGCAGCTGGCCACGGGCCAGCATGGGCTTCAGAAGGTTGGCGGCATCCATGCCACCCTCGCCGGACGATCCTGCGCCCATGAGCAAGTGAATTTCGTCAACGAAGAGGACGATCATCTCCTTGGAGTCCTCAATCTCCTTCAGGACACCCTTCATCCTCTCCTCGAACTCTCCGCGGTATTTGCTACCAGCCACCAGGGCACCCACGTCGAGCGATAGCAGCTTGCAGTGCTTCAGGTTGTCAGGAACGTCGCGGTTGACAATGCGCTGGGCGAGGCCCTCAATGACGGTCGTCTTGCCGACACCGGGCTCGCCGATCAGCACGGGGTTGTTCTTGGTTCTCCGGGACAAGATGCGGACGACACGGCGAATCTCCTCCTCTCGACCAATGACGGGGTCCATGTTGCTGTCGCGGGCCATGGCCGTCATGTCGATGGTGAACTTGGCGAGGTTCTCGTGTTCTTCCTCCGTGTCTGCGTTCTTGTTGTCCACCCTCTTGGTGCCTCGAATCTGTTGAACGGCGTCCTGCACCAGTTTCGGCTTGGGGATGTTTGCCTCGCGGAGGGCGGTCTGGATGTTGTGGTCCTCGGCGAGTGCGGTGATGAGGTGGTCGATGGCGATGAAGCTGTCTCTCTGTACCTTCTGCAGCTCCTGGGCCTTGCGAAGGACGGCGTGGAAACCGGGAGCCACGGAGACCTGGTCGGGAGGGGGGTCCTGGCTGGGCAATCGGACGAGTGACTTCTTCAACGCGCGGTCAAAGAGTTGAGGGTCGCCGTGTGCCCTCTCGACGACCTGCCTGAACATGGACGCCGAAGGCGCAGGACCATTCTGTTGATCCTTGCTCTGGTCTGCGGGGGGATCGAGAAGAGACACGGCCAGGTGAACTGGTAGTAGCTGGGAGTGGGCATACTGTTCAGCAAGGGCCATGGCGTCCTGGACAGCCTTCTCGGCCCGGTCGGTGAACTCCATGCGGGAATTCATCTTGTCGTGGGTATGTGACGTGTGTATGTAGCGAAGGTGTATGTGTGTGGTTTGTACGTTTGTAGTCGTGAGTATGCGGAATGTGCGTCGCTTCGAAGCTCAGTAGTGGTGAGTCTTCTACTCGTAGAGGGGTATCATTAGTTGGATTACTTTGTTTCTTGAAGGAGAAAGCGTAAGAGAGTCTTCGAGGTCGAGTGCTTTTATGCAGCAGTCAGGCGGAATTCAGACCATTCGACCAAGTTGGAAGTGGGCCAAGCCAGATGTAGCCTGATGTTTCCAGCAACTGCCAGTTGTCGTAGGGCAGCGACGGGGGAGCGCACTGGAAAGGCCTCGACGTCACTAGAAGCGGCCCGAAGCTACTGGGTGGTTCGGCCAACCAGGGACCGCGGGGTGAAGCTGATCGTCATGCTGAGCTAATCGAGGCCTTGAGCACCGCAGAGCTGAAGGGGCCAGGCCTGTGGCTCGTTCACAAAATCACATGACTCTCCAGCCACAGTTTCAATGCACGCGCCCCCCGACGCTGGAGCTCTGGGATTTTTCCTGTTCGCGCAGCCAAACGCCAGTTGAGCCAGATCAGGGGACTGACTGCCTTTCACGATCCACGGTGGCCCCAATCCCGCACACGCGCAACCATGAATTCGGCGCCAATCTTCCGCTTCGCCCAGCTCTCCCTGAGCGCGGGCATCCCGCGGGCGACAGTACGAAACGGCCACACCTGGTCGCGACGCAGGACGGCCAAGCCCGAACTCTCCAACTTCGCCCCCGGTCACGGCGAGCAGATCTGGGTCTGGCACCACCTGACCTCCCATCAGATCATCTACTCGCACACGCCTCAGCTCGACGTGCGTCTTCCACTTACCCCAACGCGAGAAGGACTCCCAAAGGGCCGGGAATGCTAACGTGCAGACAACGCAGTCCAACCACGCTCTCAAACAACTCCCCTTTATCGCGAAAAAGTCAACCCCGGCCAAGCTCCGCAAGGACCTCTGGCGGCCCATGGCCCTCATCCAGTTCCCCGCGGGCGCCGGCACGGCAGGCCAGTCGGCCTTTCAGAAGCTGCGCGAGTACCGGCGGCGCCACGAGCTCGAGTGGGGCGACGAGAAGCTGTACCGGACCAAGGAGGACGCGGCGACGGGCCGGCTCGTGCGGTCGACACGCACGCGCAAGGAGCGTGGCTTCGCCATTCACGAGCAGCGCGAGAACGCCATTGCCGACATGGCGGCCGTGCTCGCGGGCGGCGGCCGCGGCAGCAGACTGTGGGTGAGCGCCGCCGAGCGGACGCTCGTCGAGGCCGGCGGCGAACTCCGGGGCAAGCGCTGGTCGACGGACGCGCCGAAGGAGAGCAGCGCGGATAGGCAGCTGCTCGAGGCGACGGTCTTCTGGAGGGACCAGCAGGACAAGAACTTTGCGAGCGCGTGGAGCGCCAACGTCAAGCACGAGCTGTTTGAGGACGCCAAGGCATTACAGGGCGCCGAGGCGGCTGAGGTTGAGCAGGCGGTCGACACGGCGACGCCTGTTGCGAAAGAGGCGTGAGAAGGAAGGGGCAGAGCAGATGGGAGCACATGAGAGCAAATGAGAGCACATAGCAAGCAGACCGACTCATGTGTCGATGCGTCTTGCGAGCGTCCTTCGGGGGTTTGTATTACCACACGGCGGTTGTTCACCACAGCACCACCTAGCCTGTTGTAGACTATTGTACGAAAGATTTGAACATGTTCATTCATTCATGGTCTTTGCCCCTGTGTATATGCGTGGCAGTCTGACATGACTGCCTTAGAATGTTGATCTGTATGTGCGAGATCTCGTCGTTGACGGTCGCCATAATCAAAATGTCGTGCCAAATCCCAAAATCAACCCGCGATGAATGATAAACAGATAACCTGCGGAGAAGACGAAAAAAAAACAGACCAGATATCGCTGCACACCCTCGAAGTCATTACACCGACAAGGCAAACTTCTTGAGGTACTCGTAATCAGCCAAATTATCCTCCACCGTCTGGCGAATCAACTTGGCCCCCTTCTCGCCATACTTCTCGTTCCACTCGCGATCCTCAGACTCACGAGTAAAAACCTTCTTCTGTGGGAGTCAGTTTGATGCGTCCACTTTGTCATGTCTCAGGGAAGGTCTGGACTTACATGCTTGGGGTCGCGTGCCCTCAGGTTGCAGCTCGACAGGGCATCGTCGTGGAAGCCGACCCACTTGGCAAACTTGTCCTGGGCGAAGGCAGTGTCCTCGTCGCTCCAGTTCAACATGCCGTCGTGGAAGTCAAGGCCAACCCGCTTGCAATACGCGCGCAGGATGCCCTCGGGGTCGTCGAGGAGGTCATCGGCATCGACAACGGTCAGGTTGGAGCGGTCGATGAGTCCCTCCTTCAAGAGGAAGTCGAAGAAGCGGCGCACCTCGTCGTAGCCTGCCTCAGCCGGATCGAAGTTGTAGAAACCCGTCACCTTGTCCAGAGGCGGCACAGTACAGCGGAAGTAGGAGGGAATGGAGCGGCGAGGATGACGGATGAGGAAGGTGAATTGGAACTTGCGGAGGATGTCAACGGGGATGACGGTAGGGTTGTTAGGCTCTGTGGACTTCTCGCCGCCCAGAGAGGGTGCGATGGAAGCGGGGGCGCCAGAGGGGGGGAAGAGGTAGTGAATGATATCCTTGATGAAGATACGCTTCGCGCCCTGTGATCTTGTTAGTCTGCATTGGCCTTTCGTGAGAAATGCGACCGGGGATGAAAATGTGGGTGTCAGGCATGGCCAAGAGCTTCGGGGGCGCAAGCCGCAGAGAAGCTTTGCAAGAAGGCTCACGAACGAATTTGCATTTCGCAGCTTCAAGTTCATGTCGCATGCGAATTGACAAGCCGAGGTTTGGTTGCGCGAAGCTCTTCACAAGGTTGTCGCCAGCAATTGCGGGCGTCATGCATGAAGCCAATTGAAGCTTTCACGACTTTGCAACAAAATCGCGGGGTTGCATGCACCACACCAAAAAGCCGCCGATACCCATCATGAGACGATTGGAAGAAATGGAAAAACCTACACCCTCGCTAGACTCCTCAATGGTCTGTAGGACATCGGCATACGTTGTGTTGGCAAAGCCAGACGACTCCCTGGCCTCAGCGTCGTCGGCATAACGGACGCCGAGGCGTTCAGGCCCGTAGTAGAACGCATCGCCAAAAGGCTCATGAACGCAGCTCAGCACATCCCTGCGGGTCATGAAAACCTGAAATTTCAATCAGCATCAGAGACGCGATGGTAGGGAAATAAAACTGGGTCATTGGAGTTTGGGGAAGAATCTCTTCAGTCGCCTCCCCCTCCCCCTAGCTACATGATCCAGGGTTGTCAGAAAACGTACCCTCTCAAAGGCGGTTGAGCATGCCCGGGGATGGGTCGCGCAGAAGATGGGCTTCTTGGAGGTCGAGATGACAGTCATCTTGGCTGATAGCAAGGATGGAAGGCGTGCTAACGGAGGGCTGCTCCAGTTGTCGCGACGTTTGTGATGACGTGCTTGACAAACGAGAGGTTGTCGTGGGTTCTTGTGGTGGGCAATGGGGCTGCTCAGTTGTGTGATAGGACAATGAGCGATGGCGCAATGTCTCGATGGGGTGTGCAAGCGATGGCGGAATCTCGAGATGAGGGGATGACACGGCTGCATTCTCGAGAGGACGAGATGGGAGGACACCATATATAAAGGCCTTCATCCGGTTGCCAGCTCTGGCGCGCATCCAACGTTGGTTGCAAAGCTCCCCCAAGTCTGACATCCAAACTCGCCTCCCGCCGTCCAATCGAGCTCTCAGAAGCTCTGCAACTGGGCTGTTGCCCCTCTTTCCAACAAGCTCTCACCCACCTGCCACACCCTCTACCCACGCTTGAGCGGGGGGGGGCGCAGAAAGAACTCAACGAGGGTAACGTAGGTACAGTACGTCGAGGTACCGATGGCGGAGGTATCTCGGAACTCAACCATGGCGTGAAAAATTGAGCGTCGAGGGCGTCGAGTCGACCGTACCCAGAAAAGCGAGCGCCCGAGGCTGAGGAACTTGGACGACTTACAGGCCCCACGACCAGAGAGAGACCAGCGCCAGGTACCGATCCAGCCAAGGGAGTGGCTTACCCATCTCCGCCGGCGCCCGTGATACATGCGGTTTAGACGTCATAATCACCAAGTTTCTTGGACCGGGGCCAATTGCGGCTTCCGCACCGGAGACACTAGCGTCTCCGCCGAGGGGCCCTTTGGGGCCCAGAACCGCTTTTTCCTACCGTTGACTCCCTCCAGAACTGCTCAAACTCTGTCCACTGGCGCGCGCGATACCTCCACCAGACGTACCTTCTTCGCTCTGCCCGTACTCGACGCTGCCTCCACGTGTCGGGAGTTGTCTCTGTATTTCTCAGGCGAGCCGGTAAGGTCCCGCGGCGGGTGGGGGTACACCTAAGCCTGCGGATGGGTCTTCAATGCGGACTTCTTTTCGTGCGGTTGGCAATCGGCTGAGATGCCGCAGGCAAGAAAATCGCATGGCCAAGCAGAGGGGTAAGAGGGGAATATACCACTCTAAACGGGGCATGCTGTAGCTCTCCAAAGACCATGATAAAGTCTGGTTCTTGCCGCGCTGAGAGATAATCCTCCGTCGATATAGGCTTGGCTGTTGGCGTATGGAAATGCCTTCTTCAGTGAGGGTGAAAGTCGTATGGGTTTGACGACTGGCCTTGGCAGTTGCCAGAGGCTCCATTGGCCATTGAACCCGAGAGGGCCAGGATCGTGAAGACGAACCTCACCTCTGGAATCATCTGCCGAAGTGAACCACCACGCCACGGACATACTCCACGTCGCAGCTGTAGATGCTTCCAGCACAGCCCAGCCAAAAAAAAACTTTGCGAGTGAAAAACTTCAAAGGTATCCATGGGTACCCAAACTTGCCCGTTCCATGTCTCAAAGGCCCCCTTGACATCGCCGACCACGCCGCGCTCAGCTTCACGCCCGACTGGCACCTTCGGTTTCCATGACCAACTGAATAACCACGCCCTCCCACGTCCAAAACCCTGCCGCCGACATATCGCTACCTGAAAAAGGCACATTTCCCATGTCGTCTTGCGTCTGGCGCTGTCTACCATCCAATAGATGCCCAGTGCTACCCCCGTAGGCCCCTCCCTCGTAGCCTGACACCTGAAGACGGCCATGCCGTCAGCGGCGAGACTGCCCATCGCCCTGGCCCTCGCGTGACCAGTCTGCAGCCGACAGCGGCCAAGCGGCAGTTTCAGTAAGAATTCGGAGAAGGCGAGACAGGGCGAAAAGGCGCCCACAGGTCTTCGGTTCCTGTGGAAGCTGGCACCCTGCCTCGCTCTAGCCGACCCCCTCGCCCCCCCTCCAAGACGAAGGGCCCCATCTCAGCTCGCAAGGAGGGGAGGAGGAAAGAGTTTGCTCTGGCTCCTGGGTCTCTCACTCTAGCCCTAAGGCCGGGAGCGCTGGTCTTCCCAGCTCCCAAGCCACCGCCATGTTTCCGCAACGCGGGCAACACCCTCGAGAGCGTCGCGGACCCGCCCGTCCGGGTCTCGCACACGGTGGCCTTCGAACTCAACAAAAAAGACGTACTGGAAGGGTTCCTCGAGGCTCGGCCGGCTGTTAATGCTCGTCAAGTTCAGACCGGCTGCGCGGAAGGCGGAGAGCACGTCAGCCAGAGCACCAGGGGCGGTGTGGGGAACCATGAAGGAGACCATGGACTTTGTCGTGCCAACATCGGACTGGCAAAGTTTGGGTGGTAAAGGTGTCTTGGACAACTCGACAGTTTCTTTCCGGATGACGAAAAATCGAGTTGTATTGTCAGAGCGGTCTTCGATGCTCGCAGCGAGGATATCAATGCCGTGGAGCTGGGCAGCGATCTCGCTGGAAATGGCGGCACTGGTGCCGGTCTCGTCTTCGGCAACGAGAGCTGCGGCGCGGCTGGTCGATGACACATCGATCGCTTCGATGCCCTTGAGGTACGTCTGAAGGAATGCTGAACACTGCCCCCATGCTTGGGGATGGGAATAGAGACGGCGGATGTGGGTGAGATCTGTCAGGGGCTTGGCACGGGGCTTGGGCGGGTGCGGCTCTGAAGCCGTGGGGGTGCATGCTCCGGAGCCGGGGGCAGACGAGCTGGACAATGCAGATACAGAAGTCGGAGCGGCTGGTGTCGATTCAGGAGTTGCAGTCACGGGTTTAGAGGCACCTGCAGTATTGGCATTGGGTGGTAGGTGCCCTACGAGAAAGTGGTGGACGTCGAGGTAGTTCTCGCCGCAGACAGCAATGTCGGGAGAAAGTGCGTGTCGGTCAGCGAAGCAGTCAAGAGTGAAGACAACCGAGCCATTGGTCGAATTCTCAAAAGGTACAACGCCGTATGTGACATGCCCAGCTTGGACGGCAGCGAAGATATCTGCGTGTGTCAGGCGATGGCGGCTTGGTCTGGATATTAAGAAATTGCCTACCGGGGATGGTGACAAGTGGCTTCAATTCCCAGTCGCTCTCCGGAAACACCTGCAGGGACGCCTGTGATGATGTTTTAGCACGGGATTTGGCAGCCGAGTGCTTCAGAGGCCAGGAGGACTGTGTCATATCGGTTTACCTGATGAGTGTACGAAGCCTGAGGGCCAAGAAACCCGACGAGTGGTTTGCCGGAAGCCTCATCTCGCGTTGGTTCCGCCATATCGTCTGCAGGAAAGCCAGCGATAAGAGCGTCAGATCTCCGCCTAGGTGCCTTGAGATGAGGTCAATCCCAGGTCAGCCGAGGAACCGTTGAAGTGTGTCACAGACTGTAGAAGCAACGGGTCTGGGGGGATGACGAGGCGTTGCGGTCAATCAGCTGTGGGACGGTGACGGGCGGGTGGCCACACAGCACGTGTACCACGCAATGATCGATACGAGAAATGAACAATGGCGTTTGTCCGACGAGATGAGGCTGATGATCAGTCGCAACTTGATCATCGATGAGGGGTCGTGGTTATCGTGGTTGAATTGGGCGAGGGTTTTCTTCTTCGGTTGAATTCCCCACGGCGGGCGGCATCGGACAAGTTGGAACGCGCAGGGGGGCAGTCGCTGTACTACTGGTGGCAGTCACCGCTCCACTCTCGCCTTCCTGTTCGACGTCTTGTACCTGGCTTGCCTGGGCGGCGACAACCGGCCGGCTGTCAACCCACGAAATGAATTGATGGAAATGATTGGTGTTTGTGGCCGTCCACCGGGTGAATGGTCACTGGCGATGGCCCGGTGCTTGCTAGGTACCTACCTTAGGTATCTACCTTAGGTACCTACCTTAGGTACCTACCTTAGGTACCTACCTGCCGCGACTTCTTCCCTGGATGGGATATTTAAGAACCTAAGGTGCCTAGGTAGGTAAGGTAGGCACCTAAGGTACCACCTACCCGATACTGTCCGTGTAACCTCTGACTCATCTCTGTGCGGCATCGTGCCGTCAATTATTGACTTCCAACAAGGGCCTCATTCGTGTGATTGATCATGATCGCCTCATGAGCAACATCCAGCTACTGCTTTCGGTCCATGGCCGCCTGCACCAGCTCTTTGCCCCCCTCGACCCAATCATCCCAACAGACGCTCAGCGTGGCCGTGTCCCTCCACAAGTCCTCCGGATCGCCGCCCGGCGGCAGCCCCCGACCGTTGCCAGTCTTGCCCCGCGCGACGCCGTTCTTGAAAAGCATGTGCCACCGCGTGATGCCCTCGTCCTTGAACCCCAGCCGGTGCGCCAGCTTGATGGAGCCCGCATTGCGCGCGTGCGCCCGCCACTGCACCCTCACGAGCCCGAGGCCGCCGTCCTCGGGCCTGTCGAGGGCGAACCGCACGAGCAGCCCGGCGGCGTTGGTCGCGACGTGCGTGCGCTGGTACGGCGGCAGGATGTACACCCAGCCAATCTCCGTCGTGAGCGTCGTCGCCGAGCTCTGAAAGTAGGACATCATGCCGGCGAGCTCGCCCTCGTCGTCCTCGGCCGACGCCGGCCGCGTCGTGTCGATGACGGCGTACGTGAAGAAGTCGGGGTTGGCATACGACGTCTTCTCGAGAAACTCCGTCTTGAACTCTTCGACGCTGTACCAGGGGCCCGACGGCGTGTACGTGAAGAGGACGGCGTCGCTGCCGGCGAGCGCATGGAAGCGTTCAGCGTGACGGTCCTTCTGCTGCCGTGTGAGTGAGGCCGGTCATCGTAGGCCATGGCAGGCAGAATAACCACTCACGTCAAAGGGCACGAGCTTGACCTTGTCATTGGCGAGCACGCGCACAGGGAAGCAAAAGTTGGTCTTGAAGTCCTGCGTGGCAGACATGGCGTCGGTGGCTTCCCAGAGCTGTGACAGACACTGATGTAAACAGAACTTCCAGCAAAGTCGATGATCACCAAAAATCAAAGTCCCAAGCTAGTTACTAATTCAAAGGTTACGGACGGCTTGATAAAGCGATTCGGGTACTTTATGTGAGTCACGCCTTGGTGCCAGACTACGCGCATTACCTTTCCCGGCCCTATGGTGTGCGGCATGTACGCAGTAATTCCCGGCTTTTGGCGGGGTTGCCGGATCGGTCGATCACTACCAGAGACACCACCGAACCCGCAAGCGCTGTGCTGACAAAACATCCGGACGAGATCCTTTCGGCACGAAAACCCGAGACCAAACGCCCTCATCACGGCCAAACATGCGGTAAGCCGAGAATTGCAGATTGGTTGACCGCGAAGAACGTGTCTAGTCCGCTAGTCATTCGAGAAGCTTCTCACACGAGCGCTCGGTTCCCACCACTTGCTCCGGACCGGCCATCACTGAGATGAGTGCGCGCAGGTCACGCACAACGAATCGTGAGAGTGCCGCACCCGATGGATGTCTTGGTTACAGCAAACACAAGACAGTGGCCCGATTCACCAGGAGTAAAGGGGCATATCCAGGCTTGATGCCGAGGTATCAGGCGGCTTTAGGCTCAGCAAGCTGGGGAAATGAGCCCTGCATTGCTCGGCCCTCCTGTAGGGTCAAGGCGCCAGGCGCAGAGCCTCAAGCGCAGGGAGAAGAAGACGGCGTAGAGGATAAAAAGCCATGTTTCGATCATAGCAACAGACGAAACCCGAGGGTGGGAAACAAAAGAAAGCATGCGTCGCGTGCGCAAAGCCACCTGACTCGGCGGGGTTAGCGTACTCGCCGCTCTTGGTATGTGGCATGGTAAGATTCCAGCATCAGCCACACTTAATCAGAGCACATAATGCTTGGGCACAGTCCTCAGCAAGCGACCAGGCCTAACGTTGTGACTGAGAACCTATAGCGTTGCTCAACTCGATTCCTATATATCAAGGTCCTTCACTCAATCATCTCTCTCCGCGACAGTGGTACAGGCTGATGAAGCCACGGCGCTTGCGTCACGTGCTGCCCCGTTTCTGCCATGGACCGCAGATCCAACCCTATTCACATCTACTGAGTGGCGACGGCCTTGGTGCGGTAGAAGGGCTCGAGCTCATACTCGTCGAGAGCAAGAGAATGCAGAGCCACGTACTGGACGTACTCCGGGTTGAAATTTTGCAGACAGTACTTTGCGATCATCTCGGTTCCTGGCACGAAATACTACTCAGCATGCTGGCCGCCACATTCGCCGCAAACAACGGGGATGACTTACCCACGGCCGCACCGCCCGCCGTCCAGAGCTCACCCTTGCCGTTCGGCCCCTCGTACGCCTTGTCCGTGGTGACCCACTTCTGATCAAGCCACTCGACGTCAGGGTGCGCCCGCTTCGCAGCTGCCAAAAGGCTGCGGTTGGTCGTGGCCCTCTTGCCGTCCAGCAGGCCGGTGCTGGCGAGCCACATGGAGCCGATGCAGGTGGTCATCCAGACGCGGGTCTTGGGCCAGGCCTCCTTCATGAAGCGGTCTGCCGGGGGAGGTCGGTGGCTTGGCAGCGGTCCGCCGATGATGATGATGTCCAGGTCGCGCGGGCACGTGTCGTAGGTGACGTTGGGGAGATACATGAGGCTGGGGCTCGTGCCCGTGGGTTCGAGGGTGCTGCCGATGTAGTAGAAGGTCATGTCGACGGCGTCCTGTTCAAACTTGGCGAACTCCTCGTCAATGGCGAGTCCTCCTTCGTAATGGGTTCTCGAGAGGTTGCCGAGGATATCGATGCCGGTGATGTCTGCCAGCTGGACGGCTTCCATCATGACTCCGATGCGGAGCGACTTCCTAGGGGTCGTGACGGTGACCATTTTCAGGGATTCAGATAAAGTTTGAGGTGTGATTGATGGACAGGTTGCTCAGGGTAGTGATTTCGTGCAGGACAGTCAACCGATTAAGTTTGGGTTTACTTTATTTGACTTTCTGTTGCAGATGCTACGCTGTGGGGGTTTTGTACTCCTTCCATCACCACGCACTGTTGACGCAGAATCTCCTGGCTTCAAGCCAAGCCCCGTGCTGGAGGAACGAATTCGAGGAAAAACGCTAGGTCTCGAGTTAATACCGACGAGCATCGGATGTTAGCTTAGGAGTAGCCAATGAGGATCAAGAGCCGCCGAGGTATGGACCTGAAGCCAAGCAGCTGGGTAAGGTGAGATCCTGCCTCAAGGGTACAAGTCCCTTTCCCGAGCCGCAAGTAAAAGGCTTGGCACAGCGCTCGCTTATCGGTTCCTGAGGCGCTCTGCAGCTTGATGCAGTGCTCGGTGTGAAGGTCGATCTCGCTGACCGCCGCCATTCCTCCCTTGGAGAGGTACGGATTGGGCTAGAACCTCGGTGCTTGGAGCCTTCCATCCGTGCTACAGCCTCCAGCGTCCATAGACGCATACATATGAATATCTCGTGGTGGTATGAAAACCGGTGTATGTAATCCGTTGATGCATGATATTATACGAATCATCATTCAAACAGTATGGATGAAGACAAATTCCGCATCTCAAAGGCCAGAGCACTATCCAGTCCCGTAAGCAGCTGTTTTCGTGCTCATCTCACCTCCGCTGAATAGCGCTGATAAATCGTCAAACCAACTCTCCGTGGCTGATGACAATCATTGGAACCCCCGGGCAGGCTCGGACTTCCCCAAGGCATGGGCTGAGTTTACAACGATTCTGGGGGCGGGAACTCAGTATTATGGGGCCAAAGGTCTTGGCGGGTTATATGGCTTGAACTGGTTAGCCACTGTCAACTGTCGTAAACAAACATAGTATCGAATGTAAAGCTGTTCCCACGAACTGAAGGTTCGTACTACGCCGCAACATGTTCGACTTCGGGTCGGCGCCAGAAAGCTTCCGTCTTGCAGACTGAATCAGCTCCAACTGCTCACCATTAGCAATCGACTGGCATTGTAGATCTCATGATTGCAAGCGACGCATGCAGCTGCCTACCTGGATGGTCAGCGCAAGAACGAAGCCGCCAACAATTGGTTCGTGGCCCTGAGCACGACCGGCGCCTGAATGAGGTGCGGCGGTGTCAGTTCAGAGACAAGCTGGAATCGTACAAGAAGCCTTCCCCCTCGCCCTGCAGCACCTGATCCCATCTTATCTCACATCAATATCCAAGTATAGAATCACCAATCTCACTCACATACACGGTTGATACCACAGTCAAACGTTGCTTGTCAATATCATCCTTTTCGCAATG